TTCCTGCCCTTAGGGATGCAGAGTAGCGCCAGTCAGGATTGGGGTGTTTTGGCTGTAGAAACAAAAAACCCAGGATAACGTTGTTAATATATGTTAAAAGTGCTGAAAAGCATATGCATCTGGCTAATTTTGTCAGAAGAGTCTTTATGGAGCTATTTAATTTTTGTGAACTTTGAGAACTGCCAAATCCTTCTACAAATCTAAAGAAATTTTCAAATGCACACACAGACATTGTCTCTGTAACAAAGAAACTTGTTTGCATGCCAAGGCCTTTGGCTAGGGATGATCTCTGTGGAATGACATTTAATGCTGGAAACTAGCGGACAGATACTTCGTACATTCATCAACATTCTGGGCATAGAAAAAAAAAAACAAACAACCAAAAACCACTTAATAAATCCATAATACACATTATTTACCTGATAAGCTGAGGAAAGTCAAGCTCCTGCACTGAATAGCATCTGCCTAGAGTACGTATAAAATACAGCCCCCTGTGAAGGGGACGTGTGGGGTAGTCTGCTTGCTCTGAGGTTTCTGCTGCCATTTAGTGTACTGCAGAGGACTGCACTAGATTGTATCAGATTTGTAGACTGCAGCAAGTCTTTTATCAAAGGCAGGCGTGCTCTTTCTTATCAAGGACTACTACATTCTCCATATTCATGAGAGGGCATAAGAGGTGGAAGGGGGAAATAGCCAGCAATACCCTTTGACCAACAAACCTCAGCATATCCTGACCTGCTGCAGAATGGCTTGCTAAATAAAGAGATAATTAAGAAATCCTCTGTTGATCAAAAATTGCTCCAGAAAATCTCTTTTGCTTTGTCAGGGGACTATCACATAATTTTCAACTACAGCAATGAATGCAAGCTCAGATCCTTTAAAATGAAGCCCTAAGCACATAGCAACGTTATTGCTCAGGATTCTCAAGACATTATTCTGTAGGTGACATCGCAGCCAGTGCTTAACTTCAGGCACTTGAATTCAAAGAGAGGACTTATGTCCAGAAACATAATGGATTACACACATTCCTGGTGTGTCTTGTACAGTGCCAAACACACAAATAATATATGACAGTAATGGCTTAATTCTCTTCAAGCTATTGGAGGCAGATCAGAAATGAATTTGGTCCCATTACTTGAAAGAGAAAAAGAAAGTGTTGAATGCTCTGAATTATTTAAAGCCAGCTCCTTCCTCTTGAGGTTTGGGGTATGCTTTTCCCTGGATCAATAGGTTTTATTCAAATAAAAATGGAGCAATTACAACTTACACTATCACTCTATCACCATATTTCCCGGGTCCAGCATCACTCAAGAATGAGATGCTCTCGAATGATGTTCATCCCAGTATTCTTTATGGTCTGAGTTACACAAAAGGGAGGCGTTTGCTATTTGCAACCACACATTAAACATCTGTACTAGCAATTTCCTTCCCATTTAGCCCCCAGTTCTCTGGCATGCTCAGGTTCTGCTGACTTTAGCAGAAAGTGGCTGACAAGGAGCCCGTTATGCATGGTTCCAGTATTTTCTGATTCATTCCATTCTGGCTCCAGTCCCAGGGATGTCAAAGCAACTCTTAAAGTCAACCATGGAGTAACAGTCAATGAAAGAGGATACAAAATAATACACACTGATCAGACCCTCTCCTAAGTTTTTTCTTTCTTGATCTATGAAGGGTGCTGACACCAGAAGATTTGACTTTTCCTGTGCTGGGGATTTTCTTATCGCAAGGGAGCTGCTGGGCTGGGGTTGTTGGGAAAGTCCCTCTGCTCTTTTTTGCAATGGGAGAGCTACAGGTTACTAATTTGCAGAAGCTTACAGGCAGCATGAGGAGGAGGAATTTTACCACAGTCCCAGGCAAAACACAGATGAAGTGAGATTACATCAAAGAGCTGGAAAAGTCTGACACAAGTTGGGTAGGAGTGAGAACAGAAGAAAATGGCCACTCACAGTATATAGATTTTTGTTTTTCAGCTGAGAGCTTTCCAGCTCTTGGCTAGAAGACATAAATCTATGTTCTGCTGCAGTGGGAACTTTCAGACACCAGATTGTAAATGGGTGATGATGTCAAGAGAAACTCATCAGTTAGTTAGAAATTCATCATTCGTTCACTCCACATGCATGGACCAACATTCACCATGTCTACATTACAGAAACAGCAGTGCTTAGGACATTGTTGTATTTTCAAAGATTACTATCCAGAAGCTGTGACATCTTGTAGGTACTCCCAAACAGTTCTCTATTTGCTATTACTCTTTAGGCAGGGCTGTAGTGCTGCTCCCAGAGGGACAGAAGAAGGAAGGAGGGGACAGGATCAGAAAAATATACTCTGGAGATGGAAAGATCTGTTGCCACAGTTGACTTTCAGGAGGAGAGCAGGAGGAGCAGGCAGTTGGGCAGCATTCTGCCTTTGTCCTGACCTATTCTCACCCAGTTTTACCATGTGCTCACTGCTTGACTGGGAACTTACAGACCTCAGCAAGAGACACGTGTTTGTCCCACACTTGTGTTATCACAGGTCAACATCCTGCAACTGGCAAAACTGGTGAAATTCCAATTTTGACAGTGTAACTGGCTTCTCCTTTAGGTCTACTACAAACTGTAGTTCTTCAGGTTCTTCTGGTCATAAGAGAAAAGCTGTTTCAATACACCTTTAAATGAGACTGGGCAATTAGGAGCGAGAAAAGCAAAAAAGCGTGACTGATAGCAGAAGTGACAGCCTAGTAGAAGAGGCAAACCTGTTCAGTAATATCTTTCCCCAGTTTGGATGCAGCAAAGCTCCTTGTTATAGATCCATCAGGCATTCACAGTCTGCATGTTTGGGCTGGCTTCTATCTCTGGCTATGAACAGTCCACCTTTACCAGACCACCCACTGAAACCTGCCACCTTGACACATGCTGTCACACAGCACACAATCACTGTGTCATGACACGATATAGCCCGTCTCAAAGTAGAGCACAGTCTTCAGCACAGTCAGTCCTCAGGGACAGGAGTCTGCACAGGAGCTGTCAATTGGCTCCTCTGCATAGCCCAGTCACAGGCTTTGCTGTGAGAAGTGTAGCTGTGTCATAAATCAACAACACTAGGACAAGGAATAGCTGGCTGAGAAGCAGAAGTACAGAGAGGAAGCACACAGAGGAATACAGAATCTGAAGTGGTCCAGATGCTTCCCAGTTGTATATCCCCACACTCTCATTATGTCACACAATGCTGATGAAGCTATTATTGTTCCTTTTACCTCCCCAGCACCCAACTCATTACAAGACCCTGTTTATCACATGCCAGCCCATTCTACTAACTTTAAGGTAATCTTGGCTTGCCATTTCCCTCACAGATTCTTGGAGGCTGTGTATCAAGCCCGGCAGTCCTGTCCTTACCACTCATCAGTGGAGGTGAGAGAAATCACATGATCCAGCACGGATCACCCATCACCTGTTTTTTCTGATTTAGTAACAACACACATCATCATAATTGTGAGATGAGTCAAAATCTATCCAGGTGCCTATAGAAACAATTGTCACTGCACCAGGCGAAGACCTCAGGCCAACAGTTTGCTCCTGTCGGTTCTTCCAGGCATTGGGGTTGGTTACATTCTGCTAACCACACAACCACAACCATTAATGTGACCAGTCAGAAACAACCAACCCTATTTAAAAGTCTGATAAACAAAGGGAATGTATAATATAAAATGGAGCCACCTTAGCAGCAAAAAAGCTCATGCAAAATTTCACACAGTTCTTTTTAAATTGCACAGCACAGGTTAATTTAAGAAGCATTTCATTGGTTCATGGAGAATAAATTTAGTTGAAAATCCATTGTTACAAACATTTTTTTAGCTAATACTTTAACACTGTAAGGATTTGTCCCTGGGATAGAAGGAATTTCTAAAATTTTTTAATGTTGTACTGATCCTGTATCCATGAAAATCAATGCAAAGGCTACCATTCACTTCAGTGGGTGTTAGAACAGGGCCTGCCTGAGGTAAAGGAGTGTGAATCAAACATTTACAAACAGTTAGCAGGTGATGAGACTGCTAAAAGCATCCCACTCCATTCCTATTGCCACACAAACACATGACAGAATGACATAAGGTATATTTATCAAATATATCTGCTTTGAAGCAATAATAAAAGGCATTTTAGAACCCCTGACCGCATACAGCTCTGCTTGTTTTCCAGTGACACAAAGCTGACAGATGTGGGGAAACAAAGGCTTCTATTCCTGATTTCTTTCTGTAAACGTTTAGAATTAATTTGATGTGGAAAACAAACTATTTATAGACTGAACATGTGTTTATCATACAAGAAATCAGAATGGAAACTGGAGAAGGGTGTAATTCAGAAACCCAGAGATTCTCTTCCTGGCAGTGTTCATTCATGCTCCTAATGCGAAGAAAACTAAGGTGAAGGGAACAGGCAAGTGCTTCTGTAAAGTATATTTAATGAGCTCCAAGAAAACTTCATATTGGATGCAAATTTCTGCTGGCACAGCAGTAAACATCAAAGCAAGAGTGTGAGTGCCCTGAAGCACAGAGCACTGCCTCTGCGTAGCAGGACAGGTTCAGATACTGCCACTAAACAAAAGAACAACCATTTATAGTTAACCTTTACAATGTCAGCGGGGCTGGAGAATTTCTTAAAGGCTTAAGTTCTTGAACTGAGATTGTAAGATATTCCACCATTAATACCTTTAAAGCCTCTATGAGAAATCTCTTGGAAAGACTGCTCCAGACAATGCTGTGGGTTTACTAGATTTAGACACTTCAAAACATGCTTGCATTTTAAAGCAATATCAAGATGTGTTCAACTCCAGTGTTGTTTGTTTTTTCCCATGTGTTTAGCAAATTGGTTTGGAAGTGCAAAATACAGAGGAACAGTCAGAGCAAACAGCCATAAGCCTCCAATGAACCCCTGGGTATTACCATCACTAACATGCAGCTTTTGTTTCACTTTCTGAAAAGTAGGCACAGAGCACCGTGCAAATTTATTTCTGAACATCACATGAAACATCGTATTTTGTCAGCCACATGTGCCACCACCCAAAAAAGGGTACAAGGAAATGTGTAATCAGAAGAGTTTATATCTAGTTCTGTCAAGTATCCAGACTGCCCACTCATCATTAGGAATGTGCCAGGCTGCCTTCTGGGGCACAAAACTCCTGTTAAAACATATGTTAGTTCGATTGTTATTCCCTGCATTGAAGGGAAAAGGTTGTCATGAGATACAAGACATAATGAATGAGCTTAACCACACAGAATGATAAGAACAAGACGGGAGAGATGAAAAGACAAACCAAGGAGCAGACACTACCCAGACATCACTCGGCACCTTCACAGGCGTATGAGGAAAGGGACTTCAGACTAAAGCACTGAAACCTTTCCTGAAAACGTCAGAGCATCGCTGCAGCAGTGCCTAGTAACAAAATCACATCTTCACCCCCCTGCCCCCTTCATAGCTGTGTGCACCTCTCTTTTGAAAAGCAGGAATCCAGGCTGCCCATAACCTCACACAGTGCCAGCAATGAAGCCACGGTATTTTGCTGTCTCTGTATCTTGCCCATGCTGCCCGCCTGGTCACCCTGCAGTAGTTACCCAGCTGATGAGAGAGCGGAACCCATTAACACTGTGTTCTGGCCCTTATCACAAGACTCCTGCCAGCAATAACTGTTTTCAGTGCAGCTTTTAGTATGTTTCTTCTTTTACAAAACACACTTGGTTTGAGATATTCTTACAAACCTATAAAGGACCACACAGGCAAGCAGGGTGACCGCAGAAGCACAGGGTGTCTGGCAGAAACAAGCTCCCTTTCCACCATCACACCACCAGCAGTACAAGGCAGAGTAGTCACACAGGAATCGGCACTTCAACAGATACAAAGAATTCCCAGCTAACCTTAATACACCGGGTTTTCACTTCCACTGCATCCTTCTAATAACCCAATGAAGTCAGTCACAACTTAGTGGAAAGTAATTATTAACATATTTGACCTTACTAGTAAACATGAAAGGGACCAAGATCTTATTACAACGAGTGTTACTGAGATTCATCCCAAATAATGTTGAAATATTTTTCCTCTCACTGTATAAACAGCATTTAGAAAGCCCATTCACCTGGTCCCATGCTCACCACTCAACAACTAATAGAAGATCAATTTCCAAAAACTGTAAAAAAAAACCCCAAAAAACCTGTCACATTATCCAAAAGTAACATACACATCAGAGACTAACTTTCTAAATCGAGGACGACGAGGCCTGTTGCTATGCTTCGCAGGTGAAGGCAGGGGATTTTAAAGACTGATTAAAAGTTCACTTTATCTAAAAAAGAGAAACACAGTTCTCTGAAGATCTAGGAATACAAAGATCATGAGCCCTAAAAAGTAGAATTTGATGTTGCTAAGCAATGGATGGCATTTTCAGTGCATATGCTGAGCATGAAACAAGGGAAATACAGGATTTTATGGTATGCAATTAGCTAGGAACTAGTAATTAGTGAATGTCATTACATTCACCCATTTTTCTCACGTACATCTGGCATCTTCATAGTATGTACTACCACAGGACAGTTTATGAAGCAGACACCAAAGAAAAGAACTTGTGATGAGTAGAACTTGTCAGAATTTCACCTCTGTTTATATCATACAGAACTATTTGAATAATTGATTCCTCTTTTGGATCATAACTCCATGCAGGCAGGTATTCCTTAGTTTGTCTATACAGCTCTCTACTTTCGTCCTCCAAGTTTGGGCTGGCTTTGCTGCCACTGCCTGATCTGCACTGGTGTTCAGAACTTGCCGATTCATTGCACATAATAGAGCGATCCCTGAAATGTGATAAGAATCTGACTGTTAAGCTAATTTCCTACTGGTCTTGCATCCAAAGTGAAGCCATTTTCAATTATTTCTCCTCTTTTTTTTTTTTCCAGAAAATCAGATTTAAGGTGTATATTTCACTCTCTGATTCTTCAGTGTACATGTTTATAGATCATGTTCCAGCCTGTATCAAACAGACTCCATGCATTTTATTATACTTGGAAAGATTTTAAGGTATAAAAACTGTGTAGAAAAAGAAAAAAATACTTCCCCAATACCCTGCCACTGTGATTTATAGAAAAACACTGCATTAATTTTAAATGGATTATTTTTTAATGGATGATCATTACTCTCTAAAAGCATTTTTATGGAAAACTTGCTTGTGCGTAAGATTTGTGCATCTTTGTGTAACTAAACAACAGTTGCAAAAGATGCTAACATCTTCATATGTGAATTCTATTTCTGTGGCACGAATACATAAGTCAGGCTCTTTTCTATGCTACCACAGTTACTCCCCTAGCTTTCCCACATCTCGAGGCATAGCACATATTAATGCATAACCTGATCTTATGCCTGCCACAATTGTAGGGTACAAACAACACACAGTAATTACAAAATTTTCCTTTTGTGAACCAGAATTAGTGTCTCCTATGAGCGCTTCTGGGTTTAGTTCCGATATGTGTAGAAAGGAAACTGTACAGAGCATGCAAACCACACAGTAACTGCAGAGTGCCTGTATGCCAGCATAAAGCAACCATTAATTCTTCACTGTGGGAAAATATTGAAAAGGTTAATACACTGCTGTCTAAACCATAGGTATTAAACAAATTTCAATAGCAACCCAGCAGGTTAGAAGTTGTCCCACTGCAACATAACGATGGTAACTTGCTGTAATTCCCTACAAAGATGTCACCGGATTGTCACTGTCCAGAAAGCATGAAATGCAGCATTGGGCAGAATGAACATTATAGAAGGAGCGATTGCAGTTTTCAGACAACTAAAACATGCCCACATTAGTAAGCAAAGCATATCACTGCAATGGTCTAAATTCAACAGCTTTGTCTAGGTATGAAATCAATGAAGTAGCAAACGTCTATAACTGCCATAAAGTAATCTATTGATTTCCAGGCTAATCACTATTTTTTTCCCTGCAATATTAGTTTTAGCATTAAAAATTTAAGACCACGCATGTTATTCCCTAGCACTCTGTGGCAGCAGGCAATTTTAGATCTGTAAGAGAAAAGGGAAGGAGGCAATACTCTATATAGTATACGTTGCAAAAATGAATCTCAAACAACAGATGCATATACTGAACTTACCAAACGGACCCTGAAAGTCCCAGTATTTACCTAGAAACAAAATGCATTGCACAGATTAGATTCACTAGACCCATGTTTCATAGCTGTATGTCAGTGAGCCCTAAAGGGAATATGCTTAATCCGAGTTTTCCAGTTCAAACCTCTGCTTAAGTACAGGTTTGCTCAGAGCACTGTGCTGACCATTTAGCAACGTAGTCTCACCTCATTAGGAGTAATGGAGTCATTTTTAAGTATGATCAGGTTTTGTGCACTCTGCCCACTCTGTCCTGTCAGATGCCTCTCAGTCATCACTGCAGAGGGACCAGTAGTTCCTGTTGGGCCACAGGTATTATAAAACATAAAAGTGTCACTTCCTGATCCTGCAGTTAGGCATGCCTTATAGCAGTAGGTCTTAGTGAGAGACCCATTGCCCCTCACTTCAATGAAATGGGGTTGCACTTTTAAACCGTGGGGCAACCTAGCATCGATGTTGTTGTTGGCCTGCTTGTACAATTCAGCAGGGGACCGTTCTCTGACCCCACAGAACCCTGCACAGCAGGAGTCCCCATACAGACTGTATCTGTAGCACTTGATAACAGTGAGCCCAATGATTGTGAAAAGGAAAACGAAGGAGATGGCGCTCAAAGCGATAATGAGATAAAGAGTGATCTCTGAGTAATTGCTTGGACTTTTAATGTGCCTTCTTGTATCAGGGATGATTTTGGAAACTCTGTCCACCACGGCAACAGTGATGGCTACTGAGGAGGACATTGGTGGCTCTCCATTGTCTCTCACCTCCACCGTCAGGTTGAAAGTAGGTGTGCTGTCCTCCCCCAGTTTGCGAGTAGTCCTAATCTCCCCAGTATGGAGCTCTACCCTGAACAAACCTGGATCTGAGGTTTGCACCAGGTGAAAGAACAACCAGGCATTTTGTCCTGAGTCCGCATCAATGGCTATAATTTTTGTTACCAAATATCCAGCATATGCCGAGCGTGGGATCATCTCCAGGGCTGCTGAAGTGTTGGTTGAGGTAGGATACAGAATCTGTGGAGCATGGTCATTCTCGTCCACCACATAGATGTAGACAGTGACAGTGCTGCTCAGTGGTGGGATCCCGGCATCCTGAGCCTGGACAACCACCTGGAACTCCCTTAGTGTCTCATAGTCAAAGGACCTGACAGCATACATGTTGCCACTGTCAGATTTAATGGAGACATAGGAGGCGACAGGTAGCCCTTCAATCTCCCCATCTAGTAGAGAATAGGACACATGGGCATTTTCGGCGACATCTGGGTCGGTGGCTTTGATAGTGCACACTAAGACTCCAAGGGGGTTGTTCTCAGGGATGTAAACTGAGTACACAGGTTCCTCAAAGCGTGGAGGATTGTCATTGATGTCGGAGATCTCCACATGGATCACCTTCTGGGAGGAGAGAGGGGGGCTCCCAGAGTCGGTAGCTGTAACTGTGATGTTGTAGGCTGCTGCTTTCTCATGGTCCAGTTTGCCCTGGGTGACCAAGGTGTAGGAGTTCTTGAAAGAGTTGAGTGTGAAGGGGAGGCCAGGAGGAATACGCAGACTCACTTGCTTGTTCAGCCCTGAGTCCTGGTCAGTGACGCTCATCAGGGCCACCACAGTTCCTGCTTTTGCATCCTCTGGCACTGGGCTGTACAGGGAGGTCAGGACCACCTCAGGAACGTTATCGTTGGCATCCACAATGTTGACCAGCACCTTGCAGTGCCCAGCCATAGAGACAGGGCCCTGATCAGTAGCTTGCACATAGATCTCATAGGAGGATGCCTCTTCATAGTCCAAGGTACCATTAACCCGCACCTCCCCTGAGTGTGGATCCACACTAAAGAGCTGCCTCACCTTCTGTGGGGTGTAGCTGCTAAAGGAGTAGATCACATCCCCATTGGAGCCCTCATCGGGGTCTGAGGCATTGAGTTTGACCACTAGTGTGCCAGGTGGGGCATTTTCCAGAAGGCTCACAGTGTAGGTGGAGCGGTCAAAGGCAGGTGGGTTGTCATTGGTATCCACAACTCGCACAGAGATCTGGGCTGTACCGGACTTGGGGGGATCCCCACCATCCACAGCAGTAAGCACCAGCTGCTGCATGGCACTCTGCTCCCGGCTTGGGCACCACCAGCTCCAGGGGCTTGCTGCCGCTCTGGAAGCCTTTAAGGTCCAGGGCAAAGTGGCGGCTGGGGCTGAGCTGGTAGCTCTGCACAGAGTTGGTGCCCACATCGGGGTCCTGGGCACTCTCAATGGGGAAGCGGGCCCCGGGCACGGCAGACTCACTGATCTCCAGCCGGTAATCCTGGCGTGGGAAGCGCGGCGCATTGTCGTTGATGTCCAGGACCTCCACCTCCACGTTGTGCACCTCGATGGGCTGCTCGACGACCAACTCCAGGCTGAGGAAGCAGGCGGGGTTCAGCTCGCAGAGCGCCTCGCGGTCCATGCGCTCCCGCACCAGCA